ATTAATAAAACTTGATACTTACCGATCAAATATTTAGCTTTTTTAGTCCGTTTAATAATTAAATTGCTCCATTTAATACACACTGTAATAAAATTTTACTCATTTTATAAATATTGATTTGCTCAATTGTTATTCATTTACTCGCAGAGCCAACACAACATGACTTAACATCTGTAAAAATATTCAAATACTGCGCCTCAATATTCAGCTGATTGAGTCATGTAATAGTTAGTAGATAAACAAAAGTTGTTTTATTCAGATGAAAATTTTATAATTATTATTTTAATACTTATTATACTCAAAGTCCGAAGCTAGTTGACTCATGCGAAACTATCTCTGGTCAATTCAGCAAATCGTCAATTAGGTTGACTTAAAAATTAGGACCATCACTGATCGGGTAAAAAAGTGTCTGTCACAAAAAATTAACTCTCGCCAAATGTATCTTAATTTTTGAAAGTAAACACTGAATCGAATTGAACTGCGCTTTAAAATTAAAACAACTTTTGTTGGTTTCTTACAAACAGACCATGGTTCAGTTAAATCAGCTCAAAATGGTTTTTTAATTTAGTCGGAGCATAAAATACTAAGGTATTTTAAGGAGTCACAGAAATACAAATTGCGTCAATCTATTATAATAACTAAATAACAACTAAACATATCACATATCCTTTTCAAACTTGATAATGTATTTTCGGTTTAAACAAGGATCAATTTTGCGTGATAAACCCTTTACTTATAGTAATAGACGATTTTTGTGTTACAAAAAAACATGATTGGTACTTACCTTTATAGCAGTTTATTAAATCCTTTAGGTTGTTTATATAATCAAAAATGGCGAGCAAACAATCATCGGGAATTTCATTGATCAGCATTTTATCATAAATTTCTTAAAACTAGTTTTCCTTGAGTATAGTGATTGTAACCAAAATGGACTTCAATCACTAGATTTGATTATCAGAATGTATCATAAGATATTGTTTTCCCCTGTAGTTCCCATAGATGTCAGCAGTAGATTGAATTGTTACAATACAAAAGTTGAGATTCTAATTTTAAGGATTCAACTTCACTCCAGATTCTTAAAAATCTCCGATTTTCAACTCAACCCTGATTTCTAGTGCACTGAAAATTGTTGCCTCTTTTCAATTTTAGTCTAATCATGTTTTACTTTGAAATTTCATTGCAATATCTTGTCCCTTAATCATTTTTAATCAAATTCACCGAAAATCAAACTTTTTCAGACCAATCTATCACAAAAGCAATCGAATAAATGTTATATTATTTAGAAATATAAGCTTTAGCTATTTAGCTACAATATATTAGGGTGTCTCACGCTATCGCGGATAACTTTTAGCTTAATAGCTTTTTTTCTAGTCGAGAAAAAGTGACATTTTTATGCTTGTTTTGTAGCTTAGAGAAGCGAAAATTGCATGAAATCATTCTTTGATAAATTCAATCATGGCAGAATTTCAGGGTTTGATTTAATCTATAAGTGAGCAAGAAAAAAACCCATTTCTAAAATTTCCACCATTGGTGAAAAGTCTTCTAGTGTAACGCAGACTTTTTTCGACTGACCTGAGTCCCTGTAACTTCATCTGTTTGCCAAATTGAAGCGAAAACTGAGAAAAAAATCATCACGAGGGGGAAACAGTTTGAGTCTGCAGTCTGAGTCTGGAAAATTGCCGCAGGGTTAAATACGATGATGGCCTAATGCACGGAATTGACGATCTACCGAATAGCTGGCAACGTTATATTAATTCTGAAGAATAATACTTTTGGTATATAAAATTTGAAGAAAATCCGCTCAGAAATAAAGAAGTTATTCAAAATAAAAATCATCCGCGATAGCGTGAGACACCCTAATAGCAACAGCGTTGACCCCAAAGACATTTCTTTAGGTTAGCTAATGAATAATATTGATTAGAAAAATAGATCGCGAAATAAAGTGGATTAATAATAGAGATTAAGTTGAAACTCTTCGAATTGGCTTTCGAGGTACAAAATAACAAATATATTAATAAGTACTTTTCAAAAATCAATTGGAATCAAGAAAAGCGAAAGGAATATATGCTCTTCGAAAAAGCAATTTTTCATGAAATCAAAGCCTCTACTGATTACTGCGCGTTCAAGGGATAACTCTGGCCGATCTGAAAGGATTTCATCGCGATTCCCATTGAAGTAAAATTTGATTGATCGTCCATATCTTTTACAAAAATCTTGAATATAATCAGCAGCTCTTTGCGTGACTTCCTGACACTCTCTAGCATCCAATAGCACTAAATTGGGTAAAATACGAACCAATTGCTGGATATGTTCATCTTTTAAATCCCGGAGATACTTGAACGAAAGATGTTTGAGATTAGGATACTTCATAAGTAATCTTTTTAAATTATTCCAAGTATGATTTCCGTTATCGGATCCATCCTGTAAATATAAAACAATCATTTTGTATGAAAAAATTTTGAACAGATGACTCTTTCTATGTTGACCTAACCTAACCTTGTTGATTTTATTCTGAAATGTATCTCAACATTTGTGTATTCCAAAAAGCAATTACATTTCAAATCTGAACAATACTTACAAACTCTATAATAAACTCTATAACTAAATCTTGCAAACATTTGTGTTTCAATGTTTCATCAAAAAACCAAGAATTAGTACTCATGTAAATATGTGCACTTTGTAAATTTGGACATAAATCCATCAACTGGAAACCATAAAAAATTTCATCATGACGACGAAAGGCCATCTCAAGCATTTTGAGCTTTCCCAATACTGGACCATCGTAGCGATTGTCTGGACCTGAACGATAGATTTTCATAAGCAAACATTTCTGGGCAAAATATCTCCATAATTACCGATAATTGTAATCTTTAGTCTTTCAAGGTTTGGCAAATAACGTGCATCTCTTGTCAAAGCCCTTAGACTATAATCCCAAACATTCAATTGCTTCATACTGGAACTAATTCGTAATTTGTGGGGCTTGAAATTACTGACGGAAAGCATTTCGAGTTTATAACAATATTTTTCTATTGGTTTATCCAAGAAATTGATTAATCCTTTCAAAGATTCTTGTTTTCTAACAAATTCAATAGCATCTTCTACTTTATAATGTAATTCAGAAGACAATTCAACAATCTAAGTTAATAAAATAAATAAGAAAATTGAAATTAAAATAAAAATGCAAAAAGAAATTTGAATTATAATATCAACCTACTTTTAAATTTGTAAATAATTCACTCAGGCAGGTTGAATCAATCAAACATGGTCTTGGATAATAAACAACATCAGATGAATAACCACGCTGATCTGGAAATATAAATTTCTGCGATTAAGATCACAATGAGCATGAAACTTTAATAAAACTTGAATCTTACCGATCAAATATTTAGTTTTTTTGGTCCGCTTAGTAATTAAATTGCTCCATTTAACGCACACTGTAATTAAATTATGTAAATAACTTAACTAGTGTTGTATTGCTCCAATAGATAAAAAAATAATAATTCTTTAATTTTGTTTCAAATTTCCACATTTGTTTTTATGAAATAACAAAACATCAGAAAGATCAGATCAGAACAAAAACTAAACAATAAGAACAAACCTAAAAACAATTGTTCGATTGGAAAAAGGGCCAAATATCGAGGCCTTTAGCATAATTTTGTATGTGAGCGACAACTGGTTGCTATCAAAAGTCACATCAGGAAACTTTTTTGCCTTATTTCATGTTTAGATGAATGAATTAATGGAACAAAATTATGTACTGTTCTTGTTACTTCAATTTTTCCAAATTTCTAAGAACGCAAATAATACAATATTATTTTCGGTTCAAACAATACAACACTAGACTTGACTTCTGTAAAAATATTCAAATACTGCGCCTAAACAGTCAGATGGTTGGTTCATGCAATAATCACAAGATGACGCAAAAATATATATTCAGATGAAACTTTTATAATGAATTATTATTTTGAAACCTCAACGGTCGAAGTAAGTTGACTCATGCGAAACTATCTCTGGTCAATTCAGCAAATCGCAATTTTGTTGATTTCACACAGACCAACTTTGATACAGTAAAATCTGTTCAAAATGGCTTTTGATTCAGTCTGAACATTGAAAACTAAGGTATCATAAGGAGTCAGTCAAATACAAATTGCGTCCATGTAACTGAACATCTTTTCAAACTTGATAATGTAATTGAAACATATTTCATTGTATATTTACGATTAAAACAAAGGGTCAAACTAGCGTGGCACACTCTTTACTATGGAAGTAAACGATTTCTGTGATTCAAAAAAAACATGATTGGTACTTACCTTTATAGCAGTTTATTAAATCATCCAGGTTGTTAATATAATCAAAGATGGCGAGCAAACAATCATCGGGAATTTCGTTGATCAACATTTTATCATAAAATGCTTAAACTACAGTTTTCCTTGAGTCTAGTGGTCGTAGCCAAAATATAATACTGTAAAGTACCCGTTTAAAGCAATTTTCACAGTCGCCATCTATGATTTTTTGAAAATTCACATTGTGTTCACAAAGCTCCTGCTTTTTTGATTATTTTCTACAATTAAGTTATTTAATTACTCTATTTTTTGTTTTTTTATATACTTAGGGCCATCGTTAGGTGTGTTGGAATACTCTTTTTCATCGAAATGGCGTCTACAAACTCTACAACAGGGACTACTTTGGATCAAGGGATATCGTCTGATAATGGCATTTTGGCTTCAGCGTCACTGTTATACCCACTGGTAAGTATTGTAATTTAAAACAATGTAATTTAAAGGCAATGTAATTTAAAGACAATGTAATTTAAAGACAATGTAATTTAAAGACAATGTAAATCAAGAACATCCGTTCAACATGTAATTCAACAAAACTGTAGAAGAACAACTTTTCAATGACCTTTTGAAAAATTTTTCTTATGACTGTAATTCCTACCAAACACTCATTAATATCACTCAGATTTTATGTAAACCTTATCCCCAAAACTCAAATTGTATTGTCATGTATGTCCTTGAGACACTTTCAGAAGCTGCCTAACTGGGCTCTGTGCTCAGACCTCTGTCCTCGTTTATGTTACCGACTTGACAGGGGATTACAATTTTCTTTAAAATTGTAATGGCTACATGCGTAAATGCATGGCTTTTTCTTTGTATGAATAAGTTCAATAAAATTTATAATCCTTTCATTACCTAAATCTTAAGCGCTGCCACTTTCTGAAAGCTATTATCACTAGATGGAGACTTAGAAAAAAATTGCTTCAAACGGGTACAGTCACCATTGAAAAAATTAAGTGCAGTTTCTCAATGGTGACTGTACTTTACAGTAATATTCAATCTTGAATCGCTAGGTTTGATCCTAATGCATCGTTTAAAATTGTTTTTCCCTGTAGTTCCCATAGATTTCAGCAGTAGATTAATATACATTCTTAATTGAGCTTCTAATTTTAAGAATTCAATCTCACTTCAGATTTTTAAAAATCTCCGATTTCGTCAACTTGTAATCATGTTTTACTTTGAAATTTCATTGGAATATCTTAAAATTATAAACAATTTTAATCAAAACATTTAAGTCAAATTTTTTCAGACCATATATCTCCGAAGCAATCGAATAAATGTTTATTTTATTTAGAAATAGTTGCAATCATTTATCTCTCACCTATCATCATTATTTTTGAAACGTCGATGAAAGTTATTTACGGATCTAAAGTTCTAATCCTTTGACAACAAAGACATTTCTTTAGGTTAGCCAATAGATAATGTTCACTAGAAAAATAGATCGCCAAATATTAATAAATTAGATGAATAACAAAGATAAAGTTGAAACTCTTCGAATGGGCTTCCGAGGTACAAAATAACAAATATATACTTTTAATACTTTTACTAATAATCAATTGGAATCGAAAAATTTGTCGCAATGTTTCATGAAATCAAAGCCTCGACTTACTGCTTCGTGTTTAATGGTCAAATGAGACGAATCTGATCTGATTTCATGTTTATTCCCATTGAAGTAAAATTTGATTAATCTTCCGTATCTTTTACAATGATCTTTAACGTAATCAGCAGCTCTTCGAGTGACTCCGTTACACTTTCTAACATCCAATAGCACTAAATTGGGTAAAATGTGAACCAATTGCTCGATATGTTCATCTGTTATACACGAATCGCCCCATAACGCAAAAAGTTTGAGATTCGGGAATTTCATAAGCAATCTTTTTAAATTATTCCAGTTATCATTATCGTATTCATACTGTGAATATAAAATCAATTAGTTTGTATGGAAAAATTTTGTACAGATGACCCTTTCCATGTTGACCTAACCTAACCTTTTCGATTGCAATCTGAGTTTATCTGAATAATTCAAAAAAAAATTCATTTCAAATCTGAACAATACTTACAAAATCTATAAACAAATCCTGCAGACATTTGTGTTTCAATGTTTCATCAAAGAACCAATTAGTAGCATTCATGAAAATATGGGCACTTTGTAAATTCGGGCATGAATCCATCAACTGGAAACCATGAAAAATTTTGGCAGGGTAGCAATAGTAATAAAACTCAAGTATTTCGAGCTTTTCCAATACTGGACCATCGTAGCGATTATCTGGAACTAAACGATAGATTTTCATAAATGAACATTTCTGGGCAAAATATTTTCATAATCACCTCTAATTTGAATCCTTAGTCTTTCAATGTTGGGCAAATAATGTGCATCTCTTTTCAAAGCCTCTAAACTATAATTCCAAATGTCCAATTGCTTCATGCTGGAACTATTTCGTAAATTGTTTGGATCGAAATTATGGACGGAAAGCATTTCGAGTCCATCACAATATTTTTCTATTGGTACATCAAAACGATTGATTAATCCTTTCAAAGATTTTTGGCTTTTAACAAATTCAATAGCATCTTCTACTTCGAAAGTTAACTCGCGAGACATTTCAGCGATCTGAGTTAATAAGGTGGATAAGAAAATTGAATATTTAATAAAAAATGCAAAAAGGAAATATGATTGATGATATCAACCTACTATTAAATTTGTAAATAATTTGGGCAGACAGGTTGAATCAATCAAGCATGATCTTTGATAATAAACAGTATCAGATGAATAACCAACCTCATCTGAAAATATAAATCTCTGTGGTTAAGAAAAGGATGACTATGAGGATGAAACATTAATAAAACTTGAATCTTACCGATCAAATATTTAACTTTTTTAGTCCTTTTAACAAGCAAATAGCTCCATTTAACGCACACTGTAATAAAATTTTACTCATTTTAAACTCATCGTTAAAAGTACATTAAGTAATAATACTTTCAAAACCAGCACAGCATGGCTGAACTAGTGTGGTATTGTGTCGATAGATTTTCTGTCAGCGACAACTGGTTGCTATCAAAAGTCGCATCAGTGAACTTTTTTGCCTTATTTCATGTTAAGATGAATGAATTAATGATGGAACTAAATTTTGTTATGTTCTTGTTACTTCTATTTTTTTCAGATTTCTGAGACCAAAAATAATCAGTTGTTTCATGGATATGAAGAGCCTGGAATAAATTGTGCATTGTTTGGTCCGGAACAATACAAAACTAGACTTTACACCTGTAAAAATATTCAAATACTGCGCCTAAACTGTCATAATTGAACTGCACTCAAAGAGTAGAGGAACTTAGAGTGCACTTTCTCTACTCTTTGACTACTATAATTTCACACAAACCGGTTATGATACCGTTTAATCTGCTCCTGGTTTATTTATTTAATCTGAACATAAAACTTCTTACTAGGGAAATAGATGAATTTTATAACACAGAAAACATAGTTGGTACTAACCTTTATAACAGTTTATTAAATCCTCCAGGTTGTTAATATAATCGAAAATGGCGAGTAAACAATCATCGGGAATTTCGTCGATCAACATTTTATAATAAATGCTTAAAACTACAGTTTTCTTGAGTCTAGTGATTGAATTCAAAATAATATTCAACTGTGAATCACTAGGTTTGACCAGAATGTATCATTTAATATTGTTTTTCTGTTGCCCACATAGATGTCAGCAGTAGATTGAGATGCAGTAAAAAAATTGACATTCTAATTTTAAGGATTCAACTTCCCTCGAGATTCTTAAAAATCTCCGATTTTGTTGATTTTAGGGTGTTTCCGATGAAAAATGGATCGAGTTATCTGGATCCAAAAAAGTCGATTCAGATCAATTTACATCGACATTTTTGGACTTAATTTGTTCTAAAAATGATCTAAAAGCTGAAAAAAACATTCCCAGGTCAAAAAAGTCACCGGAAGTGAATCCAATCAACATTTCACCGGAAAAATCCATTGTGACGTCACTGTGACGTCACAAAACGTCACAATTTATTGACAATGAATCGGATTCAATCTCAATAAATTTTTCATCGGAAACACCTTTAATCATGATTACAATCATTCTCGTTTGAATAGAATCAACTTCCATATGAACATAGACAATAGTGTTTACAGTGTTGACATGTTTGTTTTATTTAAAAATAGCTATACAATCATTCATCTTTTACCAATCATTATTTTTAAAACCTCGATGAAAGTTATCTACGGATCTAAAGTTCTAATAAAGGTTAGACAATAGATAATATTCACTAGAGAGTAGATCGCGAAATAAAATGGATGAATCATAGAGATTGAGTTGAAACTCTTCGAATGGGCTTTCGAGGTACAAAAAAACAAATATATTAATAAGTACTTTTCAATAACCAAATGGAACCAATAAAGGTGAAAGTTCAGCAAAGTCTTTGAAAAAGCAATGTTTCATGAAATCAGAGCCTCGTCTTAATGTTTCGTATTTAATGGTTGATTGAGGCCAATCTGATTTGATTTCATGTTCATTACCTTTGAAGTAAAATTGGATTGATCGTCCATTTCTTCTGCAATGATCTTTAACATAATCAGCAGCTCTTTGAGTGACGTCTTGAGACTCTCTTACATCCAATAGCACTAAATTGGGTAAAATACGCACCAATTGCTCGATATGTGTATCTGTTAAAACCTTACGGCACCTCAACCTAAGATGTTTGAGATTCGGATACTTCATAAACAATCTTCTTAAAATATCCCAGTGATCAATAGCGTTTATACATCCAACGGTTTCATACTGTAAATATAAAATCAATTAGATTATAAAGAAAAACTTTGCACAGATAACCCTTCCTATGTTGACGTAACCTAACCTATTTCAAATCTGAACAATACTTACAAAATCTATAACTAAATCTTGTAAACATTTGTGTTTCAATTTTTCATCAATAAACCAATTTATAGAGCTATTGTCAATATATGCACTTTGTAAATTTGGACATGAATCCATCAACTGGAAACCATAACAAATGTCATGATGACGATCAAAGGTCAACTCAAGTATTTTGAGCTTTTCCAATACTGGACCATCGTAGGGATTGTCTGAACGAAGGATTTCATTTCGAACATTTCTAGGCGCCATATTTTCATAATTTCTAATTCCAATCTGTAGTCTTTCAAGGTTTGGGAACAGATGAGCATCTCTCGTCAAAGCCTCTAGACTATAATCCCAAATGACCAATTGCTTTAAGATGGAACCATTTCGTAAATTGTTTGAATTGAAATTAGCTGCATATAACATTTCGAGGTTATCACAATATTTTTCTATTGGTTCATCGCGCGGATTGACTAAACCTTTCAAACATTTTTGTTTGGTGACAAATTGAATAATATGTTCTAGTTCATCACTAAACTTGAAAGACAATTCAGCAATCTAAATTAATAAGGTGAATAAAAAAATTAAATATTCAATTAAAAATGCAAAAAAGGAATTTGATTAATAATATTTCAACCTACTGTAAGATTTGTAAATAATTTACTCAGATATGTTGAATCAATCGGACATGGTCTACAATAATAAACAGTGTCAAATGAATAACCACACTGATCTGAAAATATAAATTTCTAAGATTAAGAAATGGATGAAAATGAACATGAAACATTGATAAAACTCGAATCTTACCGATCAAATATTTAGTTCTTTTAGTCCGCTTAACAATTAAATTGCTCCATTTAACGCACACTGTAATTAAATTTTACTTATTCTTTGATACAAAAAAACATGATTGGTAATTACCTTGATAGCAGTTTATTAAATCATCCAGGGCAATTATATAATCAAAAATGGCGAGCAAACAATCATTGGGAATCTCATTGATAAGCATTCTATCATGAAATGCTTAAAACTACAGTTTTCTTTTGAATCTAGTGTTTGTAAAATGGTAAAAGATGCAATAGCGAATCACTATATTTGATCGATTACCAGAATGGTAAAGTCTATTTTTAACGAGGAGTAACTCCTGAGGAGTTATCTCCTTGGATTCAATTCTTTATAGATGATACTTGATTTCATTGGATGAACAGCTTCTGGCGGTAGTTTTGTTATGCACTTTAGTTGATTCTGGTCACAATTATATTTAATAATACTGATTTAATTATTAATACGATTAATACAATGTGCTCAAATGAGCTTTTAAACTTTGAATTTTAATAACACGCTAACTACTGAAGGAAAATCTATGATTTTATGTCTGGAATTTCAAGACTCAAAAGGAATTCGATTAGTGTGATCGAAAATTCAAAATCTCGTTTATTAAACTTTCTGATTTTTGCCAGTTAATGCGCAGATTAGTGATTAAACCTGATTTTAATCAATCAAATTGAATTCTAATTTCTTTTAATGAGATCCTCTGAATGATTCACTACCATTCGAACTAAAAAAGCAATTTCTGGCAATTTTCTATGGTAAATCCATGTCCACTATAAATTTGACTGATGCAGGAAACAGTGTCACAAATAGTCCTAACTTAGGAAACCATCCATCTATGGATTATGTAAACAACTCATCTTCCTCATTCTCCAGTAATTCCCATCATCATCAGTTTCCTTCTCGTTCTCAGCGTCCGACAAGCTTACCCAGTGAGCCTAGCCAAGTCATGTTTAGGTATAATTGACCTAGACACTCGTTATATTTTGTTGCCTCAAATGTGAATACGAAGGCCTATTAGATAATGATGCTCACTTCGCGCTTATGAATGCTTACATATGTGGCTGATAATTTTTTTATGAATACTCTTGAAATGAAATGAATGAATAATCATCACACCTTATTGCTTAAAGGGTGACTATGAAAGAAATTGCCGATTTTATCTACTCAACCCTGATTGCTAGTGCACTGAAAATTGTTGCATCAATTCAATTTTGAGTCTAATCATGTTTTATTTTGAAATTTTATTGCAATATTTTGAAACATAAGAATTTTTAATTAATTTATAGTAAATCAAACTTTTTTAGACCAATCTATCTCCAAAGCAATCGAATAAATGTTTATTTTATTTAGAAATAACAAGTGGAACCTACGATCATGACTGATCTTAATTTTTTCACTAGATACGGGACTGGCTTATTTCACCATATTGTCCAATGCGGTAAAAAAACGGTAAAAAAGTGGTTGATGAAGTGACGGATATGGTGGAAAAAAGCCGGGCCCACTGAGTACAATGAAATCAATCCATATTTAAAGACTCGAATTCTTGATGAAAAACCATCGTCAATGGGAAAAACGTAAAAATAAAATAAAATCTGGTTATACTACAGCTGAACAAAATCTTTTTGTACGGTTAAAGTATTGTATTTTTCACTTAACCCTTTACTCGAAAGACAGTTTTACTTATCCTTCTAATCCAGCAATAAACCATCAACCTGAATAACCAAAAAGTTTTTCCCCCAAAGTCAATAGTAAAAGATACGGATTCTGCGTTTTTTCCCCTACCCTGTTTGAACGCTAATTTCTCAGTAACCTGAATTCCGAGAAAGTTCGAACTATTTTTTGCGATTGTAGTTTAATTATGGCTTTCATCCTGAGTAAAAATTTTCTTTAGAACCCGTTTAGTTTGGCCACAATCTTCCCGCAAAAATTTCATAGTTTGACTTTATATATTGTATGTATAGATGTATAGATGTATAGATTACAATCATTTATCTTTTACAAATCATCATTATTTTTGAAACGTCGATGAAAGTTATCTAAAGTTGTAATCCTTTGCCCACAAAGGCATACCTTTAAATTGGAATCAAAAATTTTGAAAGCAATCCATGCCATTTGAAAAAGCAATGTTTCATAAAATCAAAGCCTCGAACTATTTCGTATTTAATCGGCCAATCTGAACCGATTTCATCGCGATTCCCTTTGAAGTAAAATTTGATTGAGCGTCCATATTTTTTACAATAATCTTTAACATAATCAGCAGCTCTTTGAGTGACTTCGCTACACTTTCCCACATCCAATAGCACTAAATTGGGTAAGATATGAACCAATTCCTCGATATGTTCATCTTTAATACTCCCAATCCTCAACGAAAGATGTTTGAGATTCGGGTATTTCAATAGCAAACTTTTTAAATTGTTCCAGTTATGATTATGGTATCCAGCCTGTAAATATAAAATCAATTATTTTATATGGGAAAATTTTGAAAAGATGACCTTTTCCATGTTGACCTAACCTAGCCTTGTTGATTTTATCCTGAAATGTATCTGAATAAAATTGTATAATTCAAAAAAGCAATTACATTTCAAATCTGAACAATACTTACAAACTCTATAACCAAATCTTGCAAACATTTGTGTTTCAATGTTTCATCGAAAAAATAAGCATTAGCGGCCATGAAAATATGTGCACTTTGTAAATTTGGACATAAATCCATCAACTGGAAACCATAAAAAATGTTATCACAGGTACGATGAAAGGCCAGTTCAAGTATTTTGAGCTTTTCCAATACTGGACCATCGTAGCGATTGTCTGGGACTGAACGATAGATTTTCATAAATGAACTTTCTGGGTAAAATATTTCCATAATCACCTTTAGTGCACATCTTTAGTCTTTCAAGGTTTGGCAAATAATGGACATCTCTTTCCAAAGACTTTAAACTATATTTCTCAACATTCAATTGCTTTAGGCTGGAACCATTTCGTAAATTGTTTGGATTGAAATTATCGACAGATAGCATTTCGAGTCTATCACAATATCTTTCTATTGGTCCGCGATATCTTTTGATTAATCCTCTCAAAGATTTTTGTTTCCTAACAAATTCAATAGCATCTTCTACTTTGCGATGTAATCCAAGAGACAATGAAGCAATCTAAGTTAATAAGATAAATGAGAAAATTAATATTCAATTAAAAAATAAAAAAATAAGTTTTATTCAACCTACTTGTAAATTTGTAAATAATTTACTCAGGCAGGTTGAGTCAATTCGTCGTGATCCTGGATAATAAACATAATCAGATGAATAACCAACGACACCTGGAAATATAAATTTCTGCGATTAAGATCACAATGAGCATGAAACATTTATAAAACTTGAATCTTACCGAAATATTTAACTTTTTTAGCCCGCTTAGCAATTAAATGGCTCCATTTAACGCACACTGTAATCAAATTTTACTCATCGTTATTCAATTTTAAAAAGTAATAATACTTTTAAAACTAACACAACATGACTCAACTAGTGTTGTAGATTGAAAAAAAGTAAATTGTTTTTGTTCTTGTTCCATAATTTTCTATGTCAGCGACAACTGGTTGCTATCAAAAGTCACATCAGTGAACTTTTTTTGCCTTATTTCATGTTTAGTTGTAAGAATTAAGAATGCAACAAAATTTTGTACTGTTCTTGTTACTTCTATTGGATCCAAATTTCTGAGAACAAAAATATTCTGGTTTTCCATGGATATGTAGAGCCTAAGATAAATTGTCCATTGTTTGGTTCGGAACAATATAACACTAGACTTAAAATCTGTAAAAATATTTAAATACTGCGCGTAAACAGTCAAGTGGTTTAGTCATGCAATAATCACAAGATGAAACTTTTATAATGAATTATTATTTTGGTTACTCAGAGGCCGAAGCTAGTTGCCTTATGCGAAACTATCTCTGGTCAATCCAGCAAATCGTCGATTAGGTTTTCCCAAAAAATTGCAATCGTCACTGAATCGTCCTTGAACTGGTGTTTGTCACGAAAAATTGACTCTCTTCAAATTGAAACTTTTTGAATTCACACAAACCGAACATAATACAGTTAAATCTACTCAAAATAGTTTTTGGATTAGTCTGAACATAAAAAACTAAGGTATCATAAGAAGTCAAAGAAGTAGAAATTGGGTCCATGTAGCTCAACAACTGAACAGCCTTTTCAAACTTGATGTACTTGGTAATTGAGACATAATATATTTACGATTTCAACAACAGTCAATTTTGCGTCGCACACTCCTTACGATTTTTATGATACATGGAAACATGATTGGTACTTACCTTTATAGCAGTTTATTAAATCATCTGTGTTAACCAAATATTCAAAAATGGCTAGCAAACAATCATCGGGAATCTCATTGATCAACATTTTATCATAAAATGCTTAAAACTACAGTTTTCCTTGAGTCTAGTGATTGAAGCCAAAATGGTGAAAGTTTCATATTGTTTTCCTGTAGCTCACATAGATGTCAGCAGTAGATTGAGATACATTCTTAATTGCAATACAAAAATTGAGATTAATTTTAAGGAACCAACTTGACTCGAGATTCTTAAAAATCTCCGATTTTGTCAATCTAACCCTGATTAATAGTGAGAACTACTGAATACTAAATTGTTGCCTCTATTCAATTTTAGTCTAATAATGCTTATAATAATATTACTTTTGATTTTTATTGCAATATCTTGAACCATAAACATTTTTACATAACTCAGTGCTTGATAACCGCTAGTTATTGCGACTGATATTTTTGGTTATTAGCACTAGTTATTGGAATGGGTTTGTGTTGATATCGGTGATATGATAGTGAATACACTCGGGCTTCGCCCTCGTGCATCTAACCATCATATCACCTCGCAATCGTTGTTTAAATATACTTAATCAAATTAACCGATAATCAAACTTTTTTAGACCAATTTATCTCTGCAGCAATCGAATAAATGTTTATTTTATTTAGAAATAGCAACAATCATTCATCTTTTACCTATCATCATTATTTTTGAAACGTCGATGAAAGTTATCATAGGATCTAAAGTTGTAATCCTTTGACCACAAAGACATTTCTTTAGGTTGGACAATAGATAATATTGACTAGAAAAATAGATCGCGAAATAAAGTGAACGAATAAAAGAAATTAAGTTGAAACTCTTTGAATGGGCTTTCGGGGTACAAAATAACAAATATATTAATAAGGAATTTTCAATAATCAATTGGAATCAAGAAAAGTGACAGATGTATATGGTCTCTGAAAAAACAATTTTTCATGAAATCAAAGCCTCGAGTGAGCAATTCGCGTTCACTGAATAACTGAGGCCGATATGATTTGATTTCAGTGTGATTCCCATTGTAGTAAAATTTGATTGATCTTCCATATCCTTTACAATAGTCTTTAACATAATCAGCAGCTCTTTGAGTGACTTCCTGACATTCACTAACATCCAATAGCACTAAATTGGGTAAAATACGAACCAATTGCTCGATATGTGAATCTGTTATAACCTGACGGCACCTCAACGAAAGATGTTTGAGATTCGGATACTTCATAAACAATCTTTTTAAATTATTCCAGTTATCATTTTCGTATCCATACTGCAAATAAAAAATCAATTAATTTATATGGAGTAATTTTGACTTAACCTAACCTTGTTGATTTTAATCTAGAATTTATCTGAACATTTTATATCTAAAAAAAGAGAAATTACATACAAATTCTGAATAATACTTACAAATTGTAAAACTAAATCTTGTAAACTATTGTGTTTCAATGTTTCGTCAAAAACCCAAGTATCAGCGCACATTAAAATATGTGCGCTTTGTAAATTTGGACAAAAATCCATTAACTGGAAACCATAAAAAATGTTATTACAGGGACGACGGAAGGCCATCTCAAGTATTTTGAGCTTTTCCAATACTGGACCATCGTAGGGATTGTCTGGAACTAAACGATAGATTTGCATGAGCCAACATTTCTGGGCAAAATATTTTCATAATTACCAATAATCTTAATCTTTAGTCTTTCAAGGTTTGGGAACAAATGAACATCTCTTTTCAAATGCTCTAACCTATAACTAAAAATTTCCAATTGCTTTATGCTGGAACCATTTCGTAAATTGTTTGGATTGAAATCATCGACAGATAGCATTTCGAGATTATCACAATATTTTTCTATTGGTTCGTCGAGTGGATTGATTAATCCTTTCAAACATTTTTGTTTGGTGACAAATTGAATAACATTTTCTACTTCAAAATTCAACTTGATAGACAAATCAGCGATCTAAGTTAATAAGCAAAGGAAATTGAAATTCAATTAAAAGGCAAAAAAAAATTCATTAATAATATCAACCTACTGTTAAATTTGTAAATAATTTACTCAGGTAGGTTGCATCGAACAAACATGGTCTTGGATAATAAACAGCATCAGATGAATAACCACGCTGATCTGAAATATAAATTTCTAAGATTAATATCACAATGGCATGAAACATTGATAAAACTTGAATCTTACCGAGCAAATATTTAACTTTTTTAGTCCGCTTAGCAATTAAATGGCTCCATTTAACGCACACTGTAATAAAATTTTACTCATTTTACATTGTACTCATTGTATACTCAAATATCGAGCACTTTAGCATAATTTATTATGTCAGCGGCAACTGGTTGCTATTAAAAGTCACATTAGTGAATTTTTTTGCCTTATTTCATGTTTAGATGAATGAATTAATAATTGAACAAAATTTTGTACTGTTCTTGTTACTTCTAATATTTGTTGCAAATTTTTGAGAACAAAAATAATACAACAATATTGTTTTCGGTTCGTAACAATACAACACTAGACTTAACATCTGTGTAAATATTTAAATACTGCGCCTAAACAGTCAGATGGTTTAGTCAGGCAATAATCACAAGATGACGCAGAATATTTATTCACAAGAAACTTTATCATGATTTTTTATTTTGAATACTCAGAGGCTGAAGCTAGTTGACTCATGCGAAACTGTCTCTGGTCAATTCAGCAAATCGTCGATTAGGTTTGCCCAAAAAATTGCAATCGTCACTGAATGGGTGTCTGTGACGAAAAATTGACTCTCGTCAAATTGAAACAACTTTTGATGGTTTCTCACAAACCGACTATGATACAGTTAAATCTGCTCTCTGGTAAGTTGAAAATGGTTTTTTGATTTAGTCTTAACATAAAAAACTAAGGTATCATGAGAAGTCACAGAAATACAAATTGCTTCGATGTAACTCAAGAACAACTTAACAGCCTTTGCAACTTGATAATGTAATTGAAACAAATTGCAATTACGATTTAAACAAGGGTCAATTTTGATAAACCCCTTTCTATGGCAATTTTTTGATAAACAAAACATGATTGGTAATTACCTTTATAGCAGCTTATTAAATCAGCCAGGTCAACCATATAATCAAAAATGGCTAGCAAACAATCATTGGGAATTTCATTGATCAACATTTTATCATAAAATGCTTAAAACTACAGTTTTTCTTGAGTCTAGTGATTGTAAAACGGTAAAAGAATCAATGACGATTCACTAGATTGGATTGATTACCAGAATGGTAAAGTCTATTTTTACACAGAGTTATCTCCTTGGATTCAATTCTTTGATAGATGGTACTTAATTTCATTGGATGAACAGCTTCTGGCGGTAGTTTTGTTTTGCACTTTTGATTTTGATCAAAATTATATTTAGAAATAAGTATGAGAAATTGAAGAGAGTTTTCAAATAAAATTTGTATTTTCCTTTGAATAATTTCCTCTGTTCGAGTAAACTTTCAATTTTACAGTCAAAATGCTGAATTGCAAACGCTTAATTGGATGGATTACATAAAGTGGATGAATAGTAGAGATTAAGTTGAAACTCTTAGAATAAGCTTTCGAGGTAAAGAACAACAAATATATTTATAAGTACTTTTCAATAATCAATTGGAATCAAAAAATGTGAAAGAGCGAAAAAATTTTTGCGAAAGCAATGTTTCATGAAATCCAAGCCTCGACTAATTGCTTCGTGTTTAATAGATAACTGCGGCCAATCTGAATCGATTTCATGTTTATTTCCATCGAAGTAAAATTTGATTTTCCGTCCATATCTTTTACAATAATCTTTAACATAATCAGCAGCTCTTTGAGTGACTTCCTGACATTCACTAACATCCAATAGCACTAAATTGGGTAAAATACGAACCAATTGCTCGATATGTGAATCTGTTATAACCTGACGGCACCTCAACGAAAGATGTTTGAGATTCGGATACTTCATAAACAATCTTTTTAAATTATTCCAGTTATCATTTTCGTATCCATACTGCAAATAAAAAATCAATTAATTTATATGGAGTAATTTTGACTTAACCTAACCTTGTTGATTTTAATCTAGAATTTATCTGAACATTTTATATCTAAAAAAGAGAAATTACATACAAATTCTGAATAATACTTACAAATTGTAAAACTAATCTTGTAACTATTGTGTTTCAATGTTTCGTCAAAAACCCAAGTATCAGCGCACATTAAAATATGTG